TGGCAAGGGGACACATCTTTGAAATATGCCTCTGCTTTTCTTTAAAAAGGAATTGCATAGAATTTGTAAGAATGGTAGAAAAACAAACTGTAATATATGCCCCATTTAAGAACCCATGCTACACTCTATCTATTGCCATAAAACACATAATGTAATTCAAAGTCATGCTAATAAGTAATTAACCAAACTGAAAGATTACCAATATCTTTTATCCAACCAATCCAAACTGTTAATTCTAACTGAATAATATGCAAATCTAGATGGGTGTGGGGAATTGACAAAAGAATACTAAAATAGGAATACCGTACTGACCTCAGAAAAGTCATTAACCACCTGTCCTGGGGGGAGGAAAAGGGGAACAAATCAACTAAAAGCCTACTTGTTAGCTTTTTTGCATTTGTCAAACTCCAATTTCATTTTATGAGCTAACTTCATCATGGATCCAAAAGCTACTTACTCCACTAGTACCTTCTAAGAAGAGAAAGTTAGCTATAAATGATGACTATTTATATCAGCCACATTTCACATATTTAAAAAAAGAAAAACAAAAAATAAAGCACACCCCGCCTCAAACCATCTTTGGGAGCTTTCCTAATGTGCAGGTGTGAAAATTACTCCAGCTGGGTCTGAAATAGAATTCATAGTATTCCCTGAACAACTGCTAAAGCTCAACATTGAACATTCACTCAGGTTGGGTGAGTAAATAATGCTTTCCCCACATTTTTGAGAAGTCCGAACCACAATAAGATAGATGATAATCAATCAAAATCCAATATCTTTAGAGTTGTCTGACATAAAACTAAATAAATGGTACCAGGTGACAATATATCATTAAGTAATTTGCATGTGGAATGCACCAGATGGATGCTTCTACATGAAGGAAATTAATATGAGCATTTGTATTAAGGATATGTTTGCATATCTACATTGTCTTTGAAATTTTAATGGAATGGAATAACACATATTTAAATGTTATGCATGTCTGTGTAAGATGGAAAGTTAACTTTCTTTAAGGCTCTTAGAAGAGTCTTTAGACTCAAAATGGAACAATCACTTCATGGGAATACCTCTGACCTATCAATACTGAAACAGGTTTTAGATGAAACTTTTTCTTTCACAGGATTATGGACATCAAAATATTAGTCAGAGGCTATGAGGAATCACTAAGATTTTTCTTTTTTTGCAGATTTGTTTATAGCTATAATTTGCTTATGATCATCATGACATAATTCTATGAAGTATGTCAAGGCATAAGTTATCTGTTTTTCTGTGCAATAACCATCTTGAATGTCTCTTCACACCAGGAAAATACTAGTTTCTAAGTAAATCAAAATGACAGGCAGACCTGAAAGAGACAGAGTTGTTGTATTAAAGCATTTAACATCAAATTCAGAATAGAATGTCATCACTGTTCATCTGGCATATTTACAAGAATGTTCTTGGACAAAGGAAGTTTAGAAGGATTTCTATGTAAATACGAATAGCTTTATTATTCAAAGTGGACATCAATCTGCACAGCTGCTTTGAAATTGGCCAAAACCCAGTGTATGCAGAATATATTTTAAATCAGCCCTTAGTACTCCAATCTTAAAAGATGGTAAGGGTTTTTGTTGTTGTTGTTATTTTGGTCATGACACTTGTTTCTGGAAAATGTCATATGTGTATATGCATATAGTGGTACAAAATAGGCTGTGGAATTTATATCCTGTACAATCTGAGTAACCTTTATGATTTCTACCAGTCGAGGATATTTTAGAGAAATCTATATAGATGTATCATTTCATAAGGATAAAGTAGCTTCACCTATGAATGTTATATGTATGCATGTATGTATGAATGATTTAGGTGGAGGCTAAAAACATTATACTGCCACAGAAAGTTCCAAAAGGTGGAGTTTCTTAAATTATACTGATATGTGTTCTACAAGAAATTGATTAGAAAAAAACATAAATCAAAGACCAGAAGTTAAATTTGCCAGTACAAAATATCCAAATTAGTTTAGATTTTTTCTTTGTATTTTAAACTTCTTTACTAATGTTTAATCAATCAGAAATAAATCAATAGAGCAAGCAGTCTCAAAGAAGATAGATATTTCATAGTTAAACCTTGCCTTTAAACAGTTTTCAAGAAATTTTTGATCCATGTTGCATCTGAGTCAAAAGAATGGAATTAGAAAGAGTAAAAAGCTGTCTCAGTTTTGAATATTGTTTGTTTGATTGGAAAATCATGCATATAAAAATCAGAAGAAGCAGAATTACATTGGTTGAGACATGTCATCCTTTTAGCAGAGAGGGAACACTGTTGTTCTTTATGCAACTGGGCTAACATAATTACCCTCAAGAATAACAGGCACCAACCCAAAGAACAGGCTTCATCTTATTAACCAAATTCAAGAAGCCATAACCCAATCCTGCCTTCCCTAATCATATGTTGTGAGCTATTTTCAAATTCAATTTATTACTTTTCTTCTGTAGCATTCCTGGATAGCTAATGGGAAATAATTAATTTCTTCATTTGCCAACTTGTTTTCCAGGCAAGAAACATTCATTAGAGGTTCTGTGGAGAGTATGCTGCAACCATTAATTCTATTTCCAAATTGTTAATCTTATACAGCCAAGTACTTAGAGTCTAATTCCATATGCTAATCTGCAAGGATATTGAGAATATATCTAAATTTCCCCACAGTTGTGATACTAAGGCTAAACCAAAGCAGTTCTTTTTAATGACAAATTAATGTCATTAAAAAGTTTTCCAGGCTCTGTTTCAGTAATTAGTAAAGTAATACTTCATACCAATAGTTATCATCAATCTAATACTTAGGGCTTTTCTTAAGGAAAGAGAAATGGATATGCCCTGCAAGTAGGCTATCACATGATAAATAATAATTATCTTGGAAGATTTAATTTCCAACAGTTTCATCTTGGTAACATTAAATAATTTCATTATTTTAACAGTTTGAAATGCCAAAAGAACACACTGATCCTGCGACTAAGCTTGTTAGAGGACAGCCTCACAAGTAATACAGAGAAGAACATATTCCACTGGGAAAAGAATAACAATTAAAAAAATAGAAATAACAGCTGAACAAAACAGCACACTTTCACATTTAAGTTTTCATTTTAAAAATTACAACTTTAGAATTCCAATCAAACTAGATGCTTTACTCTCTAAATGCTACATAACCATTCACAAGAGACTATGTATGTATGTATGTATGTATATATGTATACTGATATCAAGAATTTTGCAAATGCACATGCAATCTCTCTTCTGGTACTATGTATGCAAAATAGTCATCCTTTTTTTTTTAATCAAAATGGGGCAAAACTATGGACTTCCATTTTCTAGCACCATCTTACCCACACTGAATCTAAGGCAACCAGTGATGTTTCTTTCCCATCATATATCTGATACATACCTTGGCAAAGAGGGCTCCCATGTTGGTTGAGTAGGAGATATCTTTGAAACAAAAAGAGGCCTTTTGTAGTAAATCTTAATAGTTTATTTAAAATTAACAAGTTTGTTAAGATTAATATAGGACCAAGTTTAAATCTCTTGCTCAACTACAATACTATTGTACTTCCAAACAACTGTCTTCAGGCTTTTTAATGTGTATATTATGGAAAAGGTAAGGTCATTTTCATATCAATATTTAATCTAAAATAATTTGGTACCACTTAAAGAAACATTTTGATTTTAAAAAATGCTCATAAATGAGTTTTGGGAAAGAGAAAAAGAGGTACCAAGAAAAACCTCAGAGAGAAAAATCAATAAGAATGTCTTTCATTGTAAATTACCAGTAGGATGGGATTAGAAAAGCAACACTTTAAATCAGATAAAGTCCTTTGGGAACCTAAGAGGCTAGTTGCTATGAGCTTCTCAATATACAGGGAAATAGATTAATATTAGTGGTGACATCATTGGTCCTCAATGTGTACTGAGTTTCCTCTAAGAAATTGGCTTTCCCCCCCTGTTGTTCAAAAGATTTTAATTTAGGTGGTAATAAAAAATGAGGAGCAGTCACAGAGCCAATAAAACTCCTATAACATATTTAAGACCATAAAAACCTGTCCTAATCCCTCACCAGATTAAATGCCTGAGGTGTCTTAATATGCCAACATATCAACAAAAGCAGCACTATTTGGAGAAAAAAAAATACACGTGTACATGCATAATCAGGAAACTAAAATATTTCATCTCTTCCCCTCCAACTATATCTTAATTTAAAAGCTTTAAAGAATAACAATTTTAAGATTAGAATTCATGTATGTTTTAAACTCTCAAATGAGCACACATTTCCTTACTTTTTCCATGTAGACACATACATTTAGTATGCAATCATTTGTGAAAAGTAAAAAGAATTAAGGGTTCCAACTTAGCATGAAGAAAGAACTTTAAAAAAAAAATTAAATGTGTTAAATACCAGGTTATGAGTTAGTCAAATTAGTTCCATTTTTTACTATTCTGGTTTTAGTTGAGTGTTTAGTATCTGCTTTCTCTCTATACTCATTTGCATTTTGCTGTCCATAAAGTTTATTGTTTCCTATGCATTGCTTTTACACGGCACTTAAGGTCTCACGTTATCCGTGTTCTAGGTTTGGTGTGGAGATCAGTTTGAATTAAAAAAGACATGCTTGTTGATGTGTATAAATATTCAGTAACAAACCCAAGAACCTAATTTGCGAACATTTCCTATTATCCATTTTCTTCATCCATATACAGATGCATACAGATACATATTGGTCAGTGCACATTCAATAAAGAAATGAGAATGGTGTAAGAAACATTAGGAAGAAAAAACAGGGGGACCACTGAAAGGAATATTAAAGAAGACTGACAGCTAGATATTTAAATAACCATAGGGATGCATGAATTGTATATACACACACACACATACTGAACAAGAAAAGCACGCACCAGCCGCTTCAGGGCTCACCCTGGTCAGCACACAGCGGTGGGAAGCAGAAAAGTATTGCCAGCGGAACTCTTCCAATCCTTACCCTTCTCATCCCCTGGTTCTCCGCCGGGGATCCGGTACCCTCAGTCCCTCTGGGGCTCTTGACGAATGTTGTGGATGGAGACCTCAGCTAGAATGAAAGATCCCACACTTATTCTACAGACCCCTCCAGGGCAGGGAGCACTGAAGGTGCCCCGCCCCAGGCCAGGGCCAGGGACCCAGGCACCAGGGGAGTGAAGAGCCGAGTGAGCCGAAGTGGAGAGAAGAGAAGGAGAAGAAGGCAGAGAAGAGAGGGAGGCGGTGCCGCTGGGCGTGCGGAAGAGAGAGAGAGAGAGAGGAGGGGCAGGGTGGGCTAAGCTAGGGTGGAGTGGGGTGTGTCCGTCAGTCTGGCTGCCTGTCTGTCCAAGACCCTGTCAGCACTCTTTTTCTCCGCAGTCTCTTCTCTCACTGATCCAAGCCCCTACTCAAAGAACCTACTCCTGTCTCAAGCTTTTTGCAGGGAAATGGGCAGAGAAACTGCGCCCTCCTGTCGCCCTCTCCCCTCTCCTCCCTCTCTTCTCAGTCCTCCTCCTTCCCCTTCCCCTCCTCCTCTACGGTCTCCAAGTCCCAGCTCAGCTGGGGGACGCCTGCCTCCTCTCCTCTCCTGGTGTCCCCAGCCAGCCTGGGCTACTGCGCTTGGCTTCTGCTGCTCCCCTGGTCCCTGTCCCTTGCGCGCTCTGTCTCTCACTCTTTCCGTTTTCTTTCCCTTCCCTCCTTCTCCTCCTGCTCGCTCTCTGTATCTGTCTCTCTTGCGCTCTCTCTCTCTCTCTCTCCAGTCCCATTTATGAAGCTCGGGTCCCATCACGTGTTAATGAGCCTTTGTCCTGTCCCTGGCAGCGGCCGCCCAGACACCGCCGCTGCCACGGGAGCTACGAGGGGAGGGACAGGGGAGTGGGGGAGAGGGAGCAAAGAGCAGAGGGGAGGACGAACGGGAGGTGGCTACGAAGCCTCCAAACTTCGTTCCAGCAGCCGCCGCCGCCCCCTGACGCCTCCGGGAGACCTGCCGCTGCCGCAGCAGCACCCACCAGCCCTGGGGCTAAAGATTCTCTGGCTCGACCTCCTCCCCAGCTACCCCTAGGGCTCCCAGGGGCTTTGACCCCTGTCTTTTCACAAATGTGAGCCAATACTGGGGCGGCGGTCCCCCGAGGGGCTTGACCCTGCTCTTCCCCGTACCCCCGGGAGCATTCTTGATCGCCACCTCGGTCAGACCCATCAGTATCACCTTCCTGCTGGAGCAGTGGCGCGCTTTACCTCCCGGGACCAGACTGAACTGGTGGGCTGGGGGAGGCAGAGTGAGAGGAGAAAGGAAAGAAGGAAGAGACTCCCGGAGCCTGGACCACCTCTCCCTACTCAGCGCAGGCCAGCAGCCGAGAAGAAGGCATCCGATGCCTTCGGGTCTCCTCGGGAGGGCCTCGAGGTGCTACCTGGGCTGTTGCTTCGCCACCTGTCCTCCTTCCTCGAGGCACCTGTCCTCTTTCCAGGGCGCCAATCCTCCCCACATCCATCTCCTTCTCCTCCTCCTCTTCGGGCCTCTTGGTCTCCCCTCCTCCATTCCTTCCCTTGGCCGGTGCCTTTTCACTCCCACGCCTTACTCCCCCGCCCCCCTTTTCACTTCCAGACTCAAGGCCTGAAGCAAATTACTTACAGACTGCCCACCTGGCCAGCCCTAGCCGCAACCACTTTTGATTTGCATCCGCCAGGTGCGGTTTCCTGCATTTTCTTCTGTCTCTCCCAGCCAACTCCCCTCTCCCCACCTCACGGACTGCACACGCCGTTTGCCCCGACACCCTGGCCGAGGGGACTGGCTCCCCTACATCACCTGTGTGCTCCGAGGCAGGGGGCTGCCACCGAAGACGCCTAGAGATGCGTGTTGCACTCGGAGGTGACGGCAAGAATTAGGGGACATGCTCGTTAATTGGTTACAATATCAACCGCCGTCTGCCTCCGCTGTGCACGGATCAAACCTTAATTGGTCTTTACATTTATCATGGTGAATGTGAACCGCCAGCTTACCCCCATATCCCCTTCCCCAGTCTATCTCTCAGCTATAGCGGGAGCAGCTGAGGAAAAAAAAAATTCCCCGAGGACTGTGCTGGGTGGTTTCGGCTGCTGCTGCTTCTTCTTCTTCTTCTTCTTCTTCTTCTTCTTCTTCTTCTTCTTCTTCTTCTTCTTCTTCTTCTTCTTCTTCTTCTTCTTCTTCTTCTTCTTCTTCTTCTTCTTCTTGTTTAGACATCTTTATTTCTAGTGTGGTGGCTGGTGGAGGAGGCTCAATCTCCTTCCACCTGATGCGAGCTCCCAGTCACTCAAAATTAGTGCACCGCAGGAAAGGAGATGTAAGCCCAACCAGATTGCTGCCTCTACGCCTTTGTGTTGTTGTTGTTGTTTTCACTCTGCAAAGGGTCCGAAGTTCACTCCTTCTCTCCTGTTACCATTTTCACTTCCACCTGCAGCACCAAAACAAACAAGCACTCATGCACAGTCTGAGAGCTTTTCTCGTGATCCCTTATTTTATAGTCGTTCCACATTTGGGGGTCCCAGGAAAGTATGGGACTTGTCCGAAAACGTAAGCAGCAGAAAGATATCGGAGAAGGGAAAAAATTCGGAGGAAGCCGTCTGATGTGGTAGTCCACAGCCACCTATCCCTTTATATTAGGAAAAACTTCAGGCCTTTTTTCCTTCAATGGTAAGTTGAGATAAAGGTGCATCATCAGTAGTTAACCCAAATTTAATTATTAAAATATATGGAAGTACTCCAAAGGGGAATTTACCCTTCACCAAATGGCCAAGGAAGGGCATAGTTCTCTACCAGAAGGAAATTCTACAACAGTAGACATCGGCTCTCCCCCAGGGACCTAGACTGGAGGCATCTTCCAAAGGTTACAGACTGCTTAGAGTTCCCTGTTCTGAACTCTACTACCCTCTCTTATCTCTTCCCTTTATTGTCACAACCTAGAATCGAAGGGGGACACTACCAGGCTTTTACCCTTTCTGTAACCTCTCCCAGACACTACCTTCCAGAGTAATTAGTGTCTCAGTCTCTGCTAAAGGAAGAGATGGCCTGAACATCGTGTTCAAAATATCTAGACTGCCTGGTGCCATAAAGTTCAAATGGCAGCAAATAAAAGGAAAAGGATGCCCAGGCAGGACTTCCTCTCACTCCTTGTTAGAAGGACATCTTTCAGATGACATTATAAAAGGTTTGTGAGTTATTCTTAGAGAGAGCCTTTAGGTAAGAGTATTTTGCCCAGGAGGTGCTCCACTTCTAATACCACCCTCCTCTACAGAAGGGACTGTTAGTTACTATATATGGACAATACATTCTCAAGGGACCAAATCTGCTCTATTTTTGTGAAGTAGGGGACACTTACAAATACTGTGGCACTCATCCTATTCAGAGCAGTGTTGCCTCACCCACCCTCCCACTACTGAGTTGTTAAAGCCTAATGTGTTATGGAGGGCAATTTACAGTCTGTGATGCTCCATGGGGATTTCCTGTCTAAATTATGAGAAAATGTCTACCATCCCAGCCCTCAATTTACTTCAGAAGAGCAGTCTAATTCCTCCAGTTTTTTTAAATCTAGTCCATCCCAGTTCTGTTTGAATTAACTCCTACAGTTTACATGGAATCCTATGATTCTAAGTGAAAACTGAACTGTTTTTCAGAATTGTCTAAACAATGATGAAGGGATAATCGTTGAGTGACTGGTGAAGGTGCCTTGGACACTAACCAACCATTAAGCATAGGACCAAGGTCCCAATTCTATCAGCCCTTTATTCTGTTGCCATAGGGGTGGGAGTGGGAGCAGAGGCAATCTGAAAGATGGCAGCTGGTGAATAGAACTACCTCTCCATTTTAGAGATCAAGGTTAGTACTTAGTAATGGAAACAAAATATAACTTCTGACCTAGTGTTTCATCAAGGCAAGTAGTTGAAAATGAAGAAATTATATTGTTTTATGACCACATATGTATATCTTTACAATTTTAAATATAACCAGGGTTCTTCAAGAATGCTAGCTTGACAGATAATGAGATGATTTTCCCCTCCTTGCCAGCAGTTGCCAGTAATATTAAAGAAAGACTCTCCCTAGCACCTCAGTACACATTTTTACAAAGAATAGCTTTCACAAGTGAGAAATGGTTTAGTCTCCCACATCTGGTAGACCATTCACCTCGCTCCTGAGAGACTCAGCAAAAATGACAAATGTAATCTGTCAATATACCTATTAGGAACATTATGTTGAGGCTACACGTTAATTTAACACTAGGCATTGAATGCTCTTTGGCCACTACTAACTTGGGCTGAATTTGAACCATTGACCTTCTAGGGAAGGACCCTGGTGGCCCATTAATAGTAAGCATGATGCTATTCAGTCCCCCACACTAGCTTTTTTGGTTTCTATTTTCCTTTATCCTTTTAAAATTAGAGCTGAGTGATGATGAGCCAATTTAACTGCTGTTCTATGTAATTTAGGTTATTCACTCAGTGAAATTAAGAGGATGAGAGCACAGTTAAGACTGCATATTTCAACTTCAAAGAAAGATCTCATTTATTCCTGACAGAAGTGCTAATAGTTTCATTGGACATAGAGTATTTGGAAAGAATCTTCTGCCTTGGCAAGATCTTTGTTGATCTGAAAGGTGCTGTATTTTAAGTTTCTTCTTTTATAGTATCATGGTCTTCTTCCTCCTAATCCTGCAACATGGTAATGAAGGGGAGGCAGGTTGGTACCATGGAAAGTGCTGGATTTGGAGTCAGACCACTCATAATAACTTATTCCACCTTTTCACCTCAGTTTCCTCATGAAGACATTGGATTAGATGACCTTTTAAGGTCCCTTCCATCCTCAAATTTATTATACTTTCCTTTAATCCTTCAAATCAGTATTGAAGAAGAGGCAGGGTGGAAAGAATATTCACTAAATCTAAATTTAAATGGCCTCAGTTCAAATCCCAGCCCTGGCCCTAAAAAATCTGTGTGTGCATTCTGGGCCTCAGTGTCCCTTCTATAAAATGAGGAGATTGATGGAGATGTCCTCTAAGGTCCTTTCCAGTTCCGGTCTTAGGTGGCGAGCGGCCTGAGAATAATGATCGATGCCTTGACTGGTTGATAACTTAGAAAACAAAAGCATAATTATACATACATACATACATATTTATGTATACACACTTATATGATTGATGTTCAGACCCCAGCTCTGGCTAATTGCACAGAGACACTTTGTTCAGATGGGTATGACAGCATAATTTTATTCTGATTTGAAGTGTCTTATTCATTCATTCAACAAACACGTATAAAATGCTGCTGCATGTCAGATATCATGTAAGATTCTGCGGCTACAGAGATAAAAAAGAAACTCTCCCTGCCCTCAATGAGCTTACACTCATCTGGGGGGAAGGTGAACGACATGGACATAAATTAGTAAATTAAAGCTATATACAAAGTAAATATGAAGTATACATTATAGTTTCATCAGATCTCGTTGACTTTCCTTTGAAGCATGAATGAATTTGAGTTTTCAGTGTCCCTAGTCTTGTGGGATGGCAATGTATTTCACTTCCAAAACAAGGGAGAAGTGTTGGCAATCCCAGGAAGTGGAATTCAAAAGCAGAATTCCATCATCTAGAGTTGAAGGAAGTTAGTGCCTACCTCACTGCTAACTAAGAGTTTGAGAACTGCTCCGTTTAAAATCCCTCCTATTTAAAGGATCCCATGCAGTATTTCTACATATTCCATCAGAACCAAAAGCTGGGGAGGGAAAATTAATTTTCCTTTTGACTCAACCATCAAACATTAAACTTCATGAAAAACAGCTCAAGGTAGAAATTCTGGTTGCCAGGGAGGGGATTGAAT